TGATAAACGCTTTGAAAATTACAAATTGAAATATTTAGTTGTACTAACGTCAAATGAAACTTCAAAGAGGTACTTAACTGATTCTTGAAAATGTAATTTCATATTTTTAACATATATCTAAGATGCTTTGATAAAAAAAAAACGCGAAACTTATATATAAGGTGTCATATGACTCCGAAACTTCAGTCTCTTTCTTGTTTTAACTTTGCGACTCTTTATTTTATCTAAAACTTAACGATGGTGCTACTTCATAAATTTATTGCATACAAAATTTAGTAAATAATCTTACTATCACTTATATAAGACATCATCTTGTTTGCAATGTACACAACCCGGTTTCTAGCGGTATAAGTCCTCAGACATGCCGCTGTACCACTAGGGGGAAAGAGGGCTGAAACTTCACCTTATGGTTTGACCTTGAAATGTCCCTTTTCTTTGTTCGTTAGTATTTGTTTCGATGTTGTTATTGTTTTAAAAGGCAACATAAATATTTATATTCTATGAAAAAAATGGGTTGGGGTGAGGTGATGACGAGACAAAATTCAAAGCAAATAATTATGAATGTGTGGCATAGTAGAGAATTGTCAAGGAGCTAATGTACTAAACTGTGAATCCAAGGTTCGCGTCCAGTGGCTGCAAAATCACGCTCCAGAGGTTGGAGTTGTGGATAAGTTATAAGAGTGACAGTCAAGTTTCACTATTTGATTAGAATAGCCCAGTAGTTGAAAATTAGCAACACAAGTAACCATTGCGTAGTTTTGCACGAAAATTCTAAAAGAAAGAAAGAAAATAATTTTGTTTGATGTTTATTTATGAGATACCCAAATTTAATTTGATTTTGTTTTTTGTAAAACCCTCAATATGTTAATATACCGTATAACTATTTTATTTAGAGTAATCGGATAGCTCCACCTTCCGACATTTTTTTTTTTATCAACAAACATTTTGCTGACTAATATTCCTTCCCATAATACCCAAAAATTCTCCCATCTGCAAATAAATTGTCCCTTAATTTTCAAACCCTGGGAGTAAATCTGTTTTATGATGTCGGTTCATGCTTTACGATTTCTTACTATCATAAGGCTCGTGCAGTCGATTTGCCTCTTAATGGGTTTTGCTTGCTAGTTTACAGGCTCATTTACTTTGCTTGGAGGAGAATCTCAATTAGGAAAATAATAGGAAATAATTGTAATGACTTTACGGTGTATTATTATTTGTTTCATTAGCAGTTTTGGGGATCTGTAATAGGTTGCTTTTATAGAAAACTTTGATAACAGTTGTTAAATACGCCGCATTAACGACATGACGTTTGCAGTAAAATTATGAGGTATTATTATTTGTTTCATTAGCAGTTTTTTGGGATCTGTAATAGGTTGCTTTTATAGAAAACTTTGATAACAGTTGTTAAATACGCCGCATTAACGACGTGACGTTATGAAATTTATTACTAGTATTCTCATACAACAGTGACAGATCTTAAAAATGTATCCAAATCTTTTAAACAGATATGTCGCTACTTTAATAGGTATACTTATAGCTTATTTAATAGTTGCTGTGTGAATCAAGAAATCCTTCAATCTGCCGTTTTATTTCATTTAGCCTACTGGAGAGAAAAATACTAAATTCCTTATAAAGAATCCTTGAGATGTAATTTTTTTTATTAGACTCTTTTGAAATTTGTTTGATGTTGAGCACAAAGTTACACAATAGGTTGTTTGTGCTATGCCCATCACGGGTATCGAAACTCAATTTTAGCGTCATAAGTCTAGAGACTTTCCGCTGGCCAACTGGGGAGCATTTCTTAGAAGAAAGACATTGTTTTCATTATCAATAATGTCAATTTATCCATATATTTTTTAAATTTCTTGATGTTTTACAAATCAATCAACCATAACAAGAGCGTGAAATTGTAAAATACAATCATCAAAGGCACTAACAACATATGATTGGTCTATAGAACGACCACAGTGGTTTTATATAAGGTCTCAAAACTTTTTCAGGAGTTTTTCATATAAAATAACATATTATTATTAAGTATACTAAAGAGTGCAAAACTGCCACGAGAAAACGGTAGTAATAACAATAAGTAAGCGATCCCTGTGCACGAGGAGTAAGTTTATTACAAAGTAAAGCAATTTGAATACATTTAACATAGATGCTGGTGGAATCATTCATTCTAAAATGTCCTTATAAACTATACATGAGCAAGAATTAGGTTTTACTTTCGGTATTGTTGCTTTATTAAAGCGCTCATTTTCGAAATCCAAAATCAGCCAGTGCGCGTGTTAAAGGTTGTACAACACATAAACGGTATATTTTTTGCAGTATGATTTCAGTGATTTTCTTTACTGTAGATATATAACCGCAATGAAGGCAGCAAACTTGATATTTGTATAGTAAGGCATCAGTAAGTTTCAGTTAAATGAACAGTGGTTATAAAAATAGTATTATGTTTCATTTATACCAGATTTGAGAATATAATTATTTGCCTTGCATTAATTCTTTTGTTTGCCCTGAGATTTGAAACATTATTAACAATTGTTATTTCTTGGTTCTATTTTTTTTTTAGTATGGTCCGGCCATTGTGAACGTTAACATCTATATAAGAAGTATCAGCAAAATTGATGACGTCACTATGGTAAGTTGGAGAAATGTTCTTTGAATGCTAAGAATATGCTCGCCCTTTCAGCCGTGGTGGCTTTATAACGTTACGATCAATCCCACTATTCGTTGGTAAAAGAGTAGCTCAAGAGTTGGCGCTGGGTGGTGATGACTAGCTGCCTTCCCTCTAAGCTTTCACTGCTAAATTAGTAACGGCTCGCGAAATTCATAACAAAGCAAACCGGTTATCGTAATTGTAAAAGTAAGCCTCGAGATGTTTTTCTAGAAGACACTTCCATCTCCAATATCAACATCTATCACTATATAAACAGAGGAGATAATTAGACAGTGAGTAAGCTATGTGGTGCTATGTGATGTAAGATCTTAATCAATATACTTTTCATTTTGTCGCTGCTATTGGGCAATCATTTTTGTATTCAAAGCAAGGTTCTTTAGTAGGTTGACGTGGAGAGGTTTTTGTCAATATTTCTCTATGATGTTGTAGTTTTATATTGGTCATAAAAACCGGTAGTGTTAGGAAATGTTTAGAGCTTGTAACCAACAATCTCCCTTTCACATACATGGGAGATTTTCAAATACCACTTACTAAAGACTAAATACAACTCCAAAACAATGGGTTAAATGTACATAATTTGGTTATTTACATTTTATAAAAAAAAACTACTTTTGGAAAACTTTCATCGATGAGAAATATTCTACTTTCTTCTCTTCGTTGAAAAGTTCAGATCTGAAATATTGCAATTAGCAGTCATCCAGTATAAGTATCTTTTATTTTTGCTAGACGTTTCAATACATTCAAAATATGCTTATAAATATAAGGCTTAAAACTTTCAGCTTAAAACTGTAATTATAAAACCAAACACTAGTTTGATTATTTTGATTCGACCATTTTATCAAAATATAATTCATACCGAACAATATTTGCAGTTTTAATGAGCTAAAGTTTAAAGAGACAAATATAATTTTAGTTTTTAAAAATAGTAATTCTAGATCTTGTAATGAAAATGGTGTTTTTACTGCTATTATTTTTCATGTTCACTAAACTAGTTCAGTTTAAAAAAAAGTCAGAGCCTCGTAGTGAGAGTAACGTTTATTACAATATAATTTAATATTACATATGATATAACTAAATGGCACATTTTCGAGTAAAGGTATGAAACATCTACAGTTCGAATAGATTGCTTAATTGATATTTGAAAAATAAAATTTTATTTCAAGTTTTATCTTGTTTGATCAGATGTTCCTAAGTTTAATGTCTACCCTAGGGATAACTAAATCACAAGAAACATAAACATTCAGAATCAGGATGTAAATGTCCACCAGAAATGTATTTTGAAAATATTTCAACATGATCTTATCTGCTTCATTTTTATTTGCATTATAATAATAAAAAAACATGAAATTTTCTTAACGTTATTATATGAAATCTATGTAAGGTTGCTGTTTTTGTGAGATCTACCGTTAGTTAAAAAAAATGCATTACCGTAGAATTTTAGGAGTGAGATTTACTTTAAAACATTACTTAGAACGTTCATTTAACACCATTTAATCAAAGAAGTTGCAAAAATATATTGAAAGTCACAATGGTAATACTTAGTATTTGCAGTGTATTCCATGGTTTATCAAGACTTTCAAAACCCTCTCGTCGAGGCGCTAAAGGGTCGATTTATCATTTGGATTTCTTCATCCAGCCTTTAAACATAGCATTATTCAGCAGATTTCATCCACTTTATAGATAATTCTAGAGCGATGTAAGACTTTTCGCTATAGCTGTAAGTGTATTTTAGGAACTTAGAGCTTACAATTTCAATGTTAAGTATACAAAATTTGAATACAATATGTAATATGTAATCTAAAATTAATGGATCTATGATGCATCGCCCATTCTAATTTGATAGAATATTATTCACAATCTTAAACTATAAATGTCTACTTTTAATGACATTAATATGATTTACAAGCCTGTATATGTTGTATTATGCTACAAATTGCTTTATGTTATTCTGTCGAATCTTATATATTTTAATACAACTAAGAACTTATATCTGTTTATTAGGAATGCCTTTCGCTTCTCACATTAAGAGAGCACACCGATCGATTTGTGAAAATGTTTAGAAATATGCGACCGCATACGAAAACGAGTCCTAATGAAATAAACAGAATTTCTTATCACTTCATAATTATATTAGGTCTATTAACATGATTAATGTTAACAGTGTTAATTTAAAGTGAGGCTGATATTTTATAGATAATATCTTAAGATATTTATTAACTACATTTCCATAGACAAATCAAATCATTTGTTAGTAAACATAAAAAATGTAGCGATTTAATCCAAGAATGCGGCAGGAAATATTTAGAACAGTCAATGAACTTTGGGTATAAAGTCTCTTTGGTGTGCTTATCCAATATAGAAGGTGAAGAAAGAACTTTATTATATCAGGATAATGTATTTAATACGGATGAGTTGATTCAGTTAAACTGAACGAAGATACAGCATTTAAATAGGCCCGCTGGTATGTATTTAATATCGAATTAATGACCTTAACTTCACGCAAAACTTCAACCTGGTAACTACTGTTTGAACATCTTAAGCTCATCGTCTAATCCTAAAGCTCCCAGTTGTATATACCTATAGTATCTGTCTGCATTAGTTTCACAAAGTATTTAGATATTCAGTATGTATGAGATAGAATTGAAATTTTCAACCTGAATAGCGCCTTACGCATACGTGAGCTTAACGGCTAGGGTTCAGCCGTTCTTAATTCTGAACTACTAGCCAAAGGAAGTGCAATCATCCAGAATCGCCCGTCGCCACAAGAGCTTCATTCGGCTTTCTCAACCGAATAATGGGATTCACTATCACTTTCATAACACATCCACAGCTTGGCATGCTAAACTTTAGACCTTTTCCGCTTCAAGGTAAAATTTGACAGCTCTTTTGCATCTTCTCTTAGGAGTAAATTTTACAGTCTTTTGTGGATGCCGTCTCTAACATGCCGTTTTATTTCGATTTTCAGGAATACAGTGTGCAGCTAACTTTCAGGGAACAGTGGCGAGACGAAAGGTTACAATTTAACGACATGGATGGTCAGATGGCCTATTTAACCCTAACTGATCCGAATAAAATCTGGAAACCGGATCTCTTCTTTTCCAATGAAAAAGAAGGACATTTTCATGACATAATCATGCCTAATGTTTTGCTTCGAATTTATCCTAATGGGGAAGTACTTTACAGCATAAGGTATTTTTCATGTTAATAAGTTTGATATATTTATTATCAGAGTTATATTAATTAATCTTTACCTCTATAATTCACAAAATGCATAAAGAAGTTATAAAAGATCGTTTTCGATTAAGTATTTTTTTCTGTACTGTAAATTTTATTGAACTAAAATTATATTTTTTTTATATCAAACTTTAATTTTATTCACGGTAATTGTAGGAAAGTAAAAAATTGTATCCGTTAAATCATGATAACTAATTCTTAGGATGGACACGTGTAACCTATTTGTGTGTTAAATTATGTATACACTACTGGCAAGTTGTAATTATTCGGGGTTATACATTATAAAACATCTTATTTTAATACATTATGTATCAGTTGATTTACAACAATTAGGCTGAATTCTACGAAAGTAATAATATGAATATTGTTGCACGACACGTATATTACTATGTTATGTTTTATTAATAACTGATTGTACTCGATGCAAACACACATAGAGAGATATTGACTGTGGTATTTCCTTATGTGGAGTTCAAATACTTTCCAACTCTTAGCCTAACTGAGGTTGTATTACGTGCACAACAACATCCAAATGATTAATGTACTTATTCTTACACTTAGTGATGAGTATTCCAACTGCTTCACAGACTGTCTGCCCAATCATCATCATTTGATATCAGTTAGGTAAAAATCTAAGTGGTGGGTCGAAATGACCTACCCGGGAATGAAACGATTAGCCTTTTGTTTTTTAAATTTACAACTGTAACTGAATTTTACTTATCGCATATGTCATTATGGCTTACAAATCTGTAGTTTAGACTGTCACTCAATAAATAAATGTTAATATCGTGTTCCTATCTCAATGTGCAATTTTTACTTACTACCATCATAAAGAAATCATTTTGCTTTTGACAGAATTTCGCTGGTTTTAGCGTGTCCTATGGACCTAAAGTATTATCCCCTGGACAAACAGACCTGTTCTATCATTATGGCCAGTTGTAAGTGTATTTTTGTATTGTTTTCTTTAATAATTAATATTAACTTCCGATCAGAGCAACCTATCTACTTACAACGAAGCTAAATTAGTCAATCTGGAAATAAGTATAGATAATAGAATACATTTTTCTCACGTTCCTACTTAGAAAGATTATAATATGTTTTTTTATCAGTTGGTTACCCTTTGCTGTTAACAATATCTCACGAACTTCGGTCAGTTTAGGAGATTTAGGCTAGTACTCTTTACGTGTATCAATCTAGTGATGTAAAACAATTTCTACAATAACAAATAAAATTGGATATGTTAAGTAGTCTAACCAATACTGTTAATGAAATATTCAATAGAAAACCATATAGTATACTTCACTTAGTGAATACATAAACACTAGCTGTTAATGGGTTCAATTACTTGTAGAATTAATTTTTATTGGAAAAACGGAACATAAGAATAATTGCCTGAATTTTCTCAACTCTTCCAGCCATGTCTTGCGGTCAATGAAAACTCATTAAACAACACCGTCAGTATAACATTAGAAAGTTTAGAGGATCATGGCGTCTGAGACAAATTACTACGTCACATGTTTCTGTTTAGATTGTATTGGGTTAAGTGGTAGGAACATACCAATAGTACAGACAAAACTAATGTTATAAATATACAAAATAATAACCAGGAAATTAAAAAATACTGTAATACAATAAAAACAATACGCGTAACCTACTATTATATGTGTCTAACAGCTGCTCCCACTTCACTTTAACCTCTGTCACACATGGATCAGGCAACAGGAAGTAATGTTAACTAACCTCTGTCACACATGGAGCAGGCAACAGGAAATATTATTAATTAACCTCTGTCACACATGGAGCAGGCAACAGGAAA